TTATATGCTTTCCCTGTGCTGCAAGGAGCTGTGAAGCAAGGCAGCCCCTTTTCGGGGTCTCATCCACCCCTCTGCCCATCCATTTTCTCCCTGCAAGGCAGGACGTGCTGCTGACCGCCCTGCTTCTTTGCCACCTGCACATAAGGTGTTTCCCGGAGGTCGCCGAGGTTGCACAGAGACTACATGTCTGTAATAGATATCATACTGCTTATTCTGCAGATCCTATGTGGTGGTTTCCCTTGGCCAGCACTGGGCTAGCAGCCCAACACAGCTGCTCACTCACTCCCCCCGCCCCGGGGATAGGAGAGAGAGTTGGGGGGCAAGGGTAAGGAGACTCGTAGGTTGAGATAAGAACAATTTAATAATTGAGGTTTAAAAAAAATTTAAAATAACAATAATATTAAAATAATAATGATAGTAATAATAGTAATAAAATATGCAAATGAGTGATACCCAGTGCAATTATTCACCACCTGCTGACCAAGCCCGGCCCGTTCCCAGATAACGATCCCGGAGGAGCGACAATCCCAAATCGAAAGTGCAATCCTGGAAGAGCGAGAGCCCGAGTGAGAGACAGAGAGAGCAAGAGAGGGAGAGACCCTCATTAATATACTGAACATGACGTTATATGATATGGAATATCCCACTGGCATATCCAAATGCCAGTTTAGCTTTTTAATTTAAATATTCCTTGTCCCCTACAGATCTTGCACTTGTAAACTAAGAAAACACAAAGTCCTTCACTTCCAGTGACAATAGAAAAGCACTGGTATGTTATCAACGGTTTCTCTCATAACCAATCCCAGACTGAAACCAAAACACGGTGCTATTCTAGCTACTAAAAAGAAACCCAGCTCTATCTCAGCTAAAAACCAGGACATCCTATTAAGGAAAATAGACAGAATACTATTTGTTTTCCCCACACAGAAAAAGACTAGGTTGTATTGTAGCACAGCTGGAACAGCAAGATAGTTCCCAGATTAAGCTCACTCCCACAGAGTATGAGGTGAAGTGTGTACTCCAACAAGGCACAATACAAGACCTGCCTTGATAAATATAGGCAGTAGGTATCCAATGCTTCTCAAAGAGCTGTAAACCTTAACGCTACTAGTTCAGTTACAAAATAATGGGGGTTTTGTTTTGGTTTGTTTTAACATAATTTCTGATTATGCTGACCAATAGAAAATGCAGTCTTTATGTAAACTTGACAGAAGTGAAATCATCATGCTGACAAGCATACAGAAGTGATTTCAGACTCACAGAAATTTGGTGTGGGGAAGACCAAATCTGTCTTAGGTGTTGCCGGTTCCAATACAGTTTGCAAGCATATTAAAAAAACCTAACTCATTTGTTCTTAGCCCAAAAAGTATGAAAAGTACTCTCTCTGTGAAACTCCTGGATTTCAATGGACTTTACACTGAGGCACAATCCAAGAGCAGAAAAACATCACAAACTCAGCAAAATTCTCAGGCCTCTCAGGTTAATAATTAATCCTGAAAAATGTAGAACTGTGTAAAAAAAATAGCATCTGAAGCAGGAAAGCAGAATATACATTCCTTGTCTAGAGGGGATGTATATTCTTGTCTATTACATGTTGGTAAACTTTTTTTTATAAAGAGGTAACAGGATGGTGGTTAGTTCTGTTTTGTTAGGAACTGGAAAATTTTTTGGCAATTATTAATTAGAAGCAAAAAAAAATCACATATTTCTATAAAATTTAATAAGAGCAAGGTGCTCATTTGCTGTGATGAGAACTATGATAGAATAACCTGTTGAAATGAGTGACAAACCAAAGATGGTATAACAAGAAAAAAAAATATAAATAGAAAAAAGTAAAAGTCACATATCCAAAAGGGATAAGGAGGCCCTCTGGATGCTACATTCAGAATTCAAGTTGTGAAGTATATAGCCACATCAGGTGTGATGTATGGACTTAAAAGAGTTTTAACATTACAGTCAAAATTTGAATAACAATTCAGCAAAACCCACTGAAGTTACAATGACACAAAGAGTTTCTTTGAGCAATGTTCTTGCCACAGATCTGCGTTTGCACTCCGGTTCTCAAATGACAGCTGCACAGGGAGAAAGAGCTGATCCCATTCTGCACAGCCACAGCTTATATTTAGGCATGTCACATGAATGGTTATGAAGACCAAGATTTTACATAAAATCAGAATGTCTTTGGGTTGGACAGGTTCTGTGGTTTAACTGCTGCTTATGCCTTGGGGAACCTCAGTTCACAAACTATTGTTCATTTTCATTTTTCTTATGAGAAGGGTTTAATTTTGTGGGATTTTTTACCTTTAATCCATCATTTTAAACTCTGTATGGGTGTGACTATGCTTATGTGCTGCAAGTAGTTCAGAATTTATATGTTAAAAATGGATTTTTAATAAATTGCACGGTATATATCATGGAACAGAGATTACTGCTACCTATAAGACTGCAAAACAGCATTTCTGTATGTGTGTGAAATTCACATTGATTGAATTCATAGGGCAAGAATATTTAGGTAAACTGAGAAGTCCAGGGAATAGGGGTTAACCATTAGGCAAACAAATGGCAATTTTAAAGTCGTATTAGTACCTTGAAATAAAACGAGTTAGGTTGGTGAAAAGATGCCTTGCAGCCATCAGGGCACCAGTTTACTTGGGTGAACAGATGCAATGGTTTACACTGTTAAGATACCTTCAATCTGTGCTCCTTCTGCTGCTTTGCTAGGTGTTTGTGCCTAGACAGGGTATCTCAGGTTACCTGTTTGCATTTACACGTGTGCCTTGCTTTGCAGGGGTTTAAGGGTCAGGGCTGAGAGGTGGCCTGTGCAGTCGGTTTCTGTGATACTTCTTTCATGGGTGGGTTGTTTTGGCCATGTGGTATTTTCGAATTAAGCATTATCTCCTGCTGAGATTCCACTGACAGATTGTTATCATCACATTCTTCTCTACCTTCCTTTCAGTGCAAGGTGGTTTTCATTGTAGAGCCTCTGTTCGTGAGGAACCATAACAATAGATTGTGTTTCTTTGGCAGATGGAGAGGCTCCATTTAGTAATTACAGGGAGAATACCGGCTGTTTCAAAAGTTATGCTGTGGCAGAATGAGGTTTCTCCTCTCTAATACATTTCTCTCAACATGTTTCTGTAGCCATGTAAAGCTGATTTTATATTTCCCTTGTTGCACAGACTTTTTTTTCCCCTCCCTTTTAAGTCATTTAACTACTACATTTGTGAAATCTAAGTACAAATGTTAAATAGTGGTCACAACTGACTTTTTTGCTCCTGATAAGTTTTTTATTTAGTCTTCTAAATAAAAAACCCATGAAAGGCAAGTGACCCATTTAAATCTCACTGTATTGTTGTTAATATCTAGAAAAAGTAATTATTCCTTGGATGACCACATAGTAAGGAGAATTAACTGTCTGAATGTTTTCCCTTTTCTCTCCTAGTACTTCAATAACATCTGCCAAAATCGAAGTGAATGGAGTCCACCTGCATTATCAGCAGACAGGAGAAGGAAGCCATGCAGTTCTTCTGCTTCCTGGAATGCTAGGTCTGGAGATTTTGTCTTATCTTTGCAGAGCAACCACCCCTTTTGCCATCCAATCTCAAGCTAGAATGCACAAAACCGTTTTGTAATATGTTCAACACCCAATTATGGAGCACTGTCATTTAAAAAAATTGCTACATATACAACAGATAGTGAAAGGCAGAGTTATTGCAATGGGTTAACAGTTTTCAAAGATTTCGTTAATCTCAGCAGGCATCTTTTATACTGTATCTTGAGTTGTATCAAATAGTTACGCTTTTAGGTTTAACTGTGCAAAGGAGGTGTCCAGCTCCTTTGCACAGATTTGTCCCCAGGTGACAAATAGCTACACAAGGTACAAAATAACAGGAGGGGAAAAAATCAGGTCAGCTATATTTGTTACACAGACTGAATTATGCATTCCTTTTTGGAAACTAGGTGCATTCCAATTGAATTAATAGACATAATGCAGCACTTGCAGTTTATTATCATAGTGAAAAAGGCACAGTTGAGACTTGTCTTTTGCTTTTAAATATATTTTCATGTTTTGGTTATTCAGGGCAACATTTTTAAGATTTTCAATGGCTTTTTGAAAGGGACAACAGGTTCTGCTATCTAAGTGGTGTCTGTCCATTGGGACCATTGCTTTTGATAACAACTTTTTAAGATTAACACAGGCTCTTTTTTTCCTGGATTCTTGCAGTTCTAAAGAACCAATCAGACTTACCAGCAGTTCCTGTGAGTAGGTCATTTACTGTGCTCAGAGCTGAGCTTATGCTTAACTGAATTGCTGGATCAAGATGATAGAATACCAAGAACTGAAGAGCAGGAAGCATTTGTTCTTGGCAGCAATATTTCCAAGTCTTTGTGAAGTGATTCTTTCTTTGAAAGAATTCCCAAGGGCAGGATAGAAAAAGAGTTAATACCAGGGGTGCTTTAGTAGTCATCTGTTTTAACCTATTCATTCTAAACAGCTTTTTAAACTAGTAATCCTCTTGCCAATGATAACTCTTTAAACAGAATTAATGTATTTCTTCAGTTGTGAGTAATATTATTCTTAGGTGTACATTGCTATTGCTCAGTTAGCATTATTACAAGCAGTAGTAGGATTACTATCTTTACCATTATTAAGTGTATGGTTTAATGTTTTGGGGCAAGTTGTGAGGGTGAGCTTTACATTTTGACTGTCACATACTTCTTCTCTTTGTTCTAATACTAAGTTTTCAATATTATTGTATCCTGCTTACAGTATTCACAGACTAATAATTGTGTTGTGGCAACAAGGTAAGTGCTTTTAGGTCAGCAGAAACAATTAGTCTCTAGACTATTTGTAAACTACATTAAAACAAAAGTGATGCTTCTCTTTCTAACTAGAAAAATACTAAGACCACCAAGAAAACACAGCGTTCAGATATGCTCTCAGCCTTGTGTATTTTTTTAAGTTACAAAAAATACAGTATAACAAGTGTGTGCATGATAGTGCAGAGGTTCATACAAAGCCTGTGTAAGAATATGTGATTAATATTAATCAGGTTGCATTGGTATTTTTCAAACAACCTGATATTTTGCTTCTGACTCTAGCTATTAATTGGTGTTGCAAGCGATCATGCCAGGCTGTCGTCAGCTCATCACAGCATGTTATATACAGTCTCTTTTATCATTTAGACCAGTTGATGGTGTAAGAGGAGGTATCTGAGGACATATTTCTCCAAGTAAACAAAACAAAATCTACAATTCCCTTTTAATATAACGATGGATAGCCAATTTGATATTTCATAGAATGGTGTGGGTTGGAAGGGACCTTAAAGATCATCCAGTTCCAACCCCCCTGCCATGAGCAGGGACACCTTCCACTAGACCAGGTTGCTCAAAGCCTCATCCAGCCTGGCCTTGAACACTTCCAGGGAGGAGCAGCTACAGCTTCTCTGGGCAACCTGTTCCAGTGTCTGACCACCCTCACAGTGAAGAATTTCTTCCTAAAATCTCATCTAAACCTACCCTCTTTCAGCTTAAACCCATTTCCCCTTGTTCTATCACTACCTGCCTTTGTAAAAAGTCCCTCCCCAGCCTTCCTGTAGCCCCTTCAGGTACTGGGAGGCCGCTATAAGGTCTCCTCAGAGCCTTCTCTTCTCCAGGCTGAACAACCCCAACTCTCTCAGCCTGTCCCCATAGCGGAGGTGCTGCAGCCCTGGGATCACCCTTGTGGCCTCCTCTGGACTCGTTCTAACTGGTCCATGTCTCTCTTGTGCTGTGGGCTCCAGAACTGGACACAGTTCTCCAGGTGGGGCCTTATGAGAGCGGAGTAGAGGGGGAGAATCACCTCCCTCGACCTGCTGGCCACGCATCATTTGAATATATTAGATCTGAACAGGTTTTAATCAAGTAGCATGTGATACTGTTACCAGATGACCATAATGCAAATAAGAAGTAAATTGTAGTCTTACCTTCATGCTAGTGTTCATAGATAGCTTAGTGCAACAGACTGGAGTAATTAATTTTTTAATCCTTTGAAGGGCTGAGCCATCAATAAAAGAGACTGTTCTGCAACATAAAAATTACTGTATTTACTTATTTTGGTAACATACATATTGGAAAAGTCAAAAGTTACAGTTTTATGCTTTTGTGTCACCACTCTGTTCTCAGGCAACAAAGTATTTAAAGCTCAGCTTTAAGCACCAGTATTCTTGTTCAAGTGTTTTATCGAGTAAGAACTGTCTCACACAGCACTTTCACCTACAAATGTGTAGCTGGAGTCAGTATATTCCTCCCCTTCCAGTTTCATTTGTGCTGTCCAGATAAACAGCAATTGCCATACCTAGTGCTTTAAATCTGTTAAAGATAAATCCCTCCCCAGGTAGCTCAGTTTAAGATTGTGTATTAAAGCACAGCTTTTGATAAGCTCACATACCTACCAGAAATGGTTTGCTCCAAGCATGTTGCAGATAGTTCTAAAGATTTTTATTGAGGTACTTCCCGTCTGAGAGTTGCCATGGTTAGTTACAATTAAAGTGTACTTCAGCGGATGGATAACATCTCTTTTAGAATTAAGATACAAGTTTCCTCAGTTTCCATTTAGAGTGTGTATACTATGTATGTATTATATGGTGGTTACTTTAATTTAAAAAATTATGATGTTTCAGGTTGTGGCCAAACCGATTTTGGACCACAGCTTAAATCTATGAATAAGCAGCTTTTCACAATTGTTGCTTGGGATCCTCGGGGATATGGAAAGTCCATTCCTCCACCTCGGGACTTTTCTCCAGATTTTTTTGAGAGAGATGCAAAAGATGCTGTGGATCTTATGCAGGTAAATCTATTCTGCGATTTTTATTTATTTATTTATTTTTTAAAGGTGTTTTCCTTAAATGTTGAGAAGGAAGAAGAGAACTCTTAAGCAGGTTGTTTCCAGCAGACAGCAAGTTATGCAAAAGTGCATACAAATGAAGCCTTAAAACTGGGCAGATGCACACTATTCTGGAAAATATTTTCTTCTTCCATCTCTTCTGCAATATACATAG